ACACTTTGGAACTTTCCACTTTGTATTAGTGCGTTAGACGGAAAGCATATTAATATTGCACCTCCTCCAAATTCTGGCTCAGCATACTGGAATTATAAGCAGTTTTTTAGCTTTGTTTTGTTGGCATTGGTGGATGCAAATCTAATGTTTGTTTAAGTTGACGTGGGAACAAATGACAGGATCAGTGATGGTGGCGTGTGGAACAAACGTACACTAAAAAATCTCCTAGATAGTGGAAAACTTGATATTCCTAAAGCGGAATTACTCCCAGAACAAAACGTTTTTGCTCCACACGTCATTGTTGCAGATGATGCTTTCCCACTCGAAATAAAAGTTATGAAACCCTATCCTGGAAAATATTTAAGTGTAGAGCGCAGAGTTTTTAATTACCGCTTATCAAGAGCTCGAAGAGTGGTAGAAAATGCATTTGGCATTTTAGCCACTCGTTTTCGAGTTTTCCAAACAAAGATACAGGCGCAGCCAATAAAAGTCGTTAAGATTGTGCTGGCAGCCTGTGCTCTGCATAATTTTTTGAGATACAGGTGCAAATACTTGTATACTCCCTCAACAAGCTTGGACAGGGAAGATTTGAAAAATCTGCAATATTATCCAAGCAGTGGGCGAAGCAACAAAAATATGTTCAAAAACTTCCGTCGAAACCAATCTAATGGTACTATAGCAGCTAAAAACATTCGAAATCATTTCATGGAATATTTTAATGGGCCTGGAGCAGTTTCATGGCAAAGAGCTATGTGCGATTTACATTGAGCTGATATTTAAGAGGTTTTATCAACATAGAATTTTAGCGGAGCAGAAAGTAAAATATTTAGTTTTAAATATTTTTAATAAAATTTTGTTTCACAAAAATACAAATTAGTCCAAAAATACAAATAAGTTCATCTGTATCTTAAATACGAGGCCCATTTTTTAGAAATAATTTTACATATTTAACATATTAATTTAATTTTCTAGCTCACTTTTAAAAGAGATTTAATTTTATTGAATGTACAAAATTTTTAATTGTGTAGCTTCCTAAATCCATATGAAAATGTTTTTACTAAATATTTTTTATGGGTATGCGCCTGTATCTTTGTTTGCAACTAATAATACAGTTATTCCACCATAAGTATACAAAACAATGCAAATTTTTTTTCAAAAGTGTCACACAATTGGAAAAGCACAATAATTAACTGTCAAGTTATAGAGTCATGCTATGCATGAAATGTATAGCATAATTACACTGCTTACAACTTAAAATTGATCTGTATTTCATAAAAACGCCAATATGAGTTACACTTGATGTATATTTTATTTCTATTAATTTAATGCGTATTTTATTTGTATTTAATTTGAGGTGTATTTTATTTAAACTTTATTTTATATGCCATTTATCATTTGTCATCATTGAAAAATTTTTTGCTTTTTTATTTTTAAATAAGGATAATGTATAATTAATGTTTAATAAAACATGTATTAAAACTTATTTGTTTTACGTAAAACCACTTTTATTAATGATGACACACATTTTAAACACTAGAAATATTTATTCACGAAACAAATTAGGAAAAAAAAAATAAACATGGCATATAATCTACCACAAATGCATAAAAATATTTAACATCTATTTAAAAAGAATCATTTAATGTTATCATGGAATGAAAAAAGCTAACAGGTAAGTACTTCAAGTAATAAATTATCCGGAATGAAAAAATAAATAAGATTTAAACAAAGCCCTCAAATATTAACAATAAATTAAAAATTTGTTCATAATTATTTAAGTAATATAAAATAAATTAAATTATTGTCTTATCAGCATGTAGATGTTTCATTATTACTTCCACAATTTCTTTTTCGCACTGATTTCGCCCGGAATCATGATTAAATTCTCCTAATTTGGAGGCAATATATCGACCAAACGCCTCATGCCCAGGCTGCAGAGAATGGTTATTGTGGGAGTTGATATTATTAAGAGTTTTGCACGCTTCCATCAAAAGCTTCTCATCCGCACGTATCACTTTTTGCTTTTTAGTACTTTTTCCAAGTGCTGCTCCTAATGGGTTAAATTTTCTCTTTGTTTTGCCGTTCTGAGCATGAGGCGTTGAAAAGTCAGTTCCAGTCCCATAAACTAAATTAGTTGCAGAAGATGGGTTTGTGGTAGTAGATGCAGAGATTTTCAGTTTTTGACGTCAGAATAGTCAGGATCATCCGCATTATCATTTGGTGAAGAAAGTGTACTAGAAATCTCTGAATACTGGCGATCTGAAATAAATGAGTGCTCTTCTTGTACCACTTCTTTCATACGCACACTCATATTACTGTTCATATCTTCTGAATAATTTATTACTGAAGTGCCTTCATGTACTTCAGCATTCGTGGCCTACAAAAATAACAAAATGTTTACTTAATTACGTTGAAGTCAGATAATGTATAACAGATCTTGAACACAAAAAAATATACATTAAAAAAAATCGAAATTTTTTTACTCAATTCATTAACTACTCATTAGGTCAGTGGAAGGAAAAATTTAATTTCTTGATTTTTATTAACTACGAGAAATGTAAAACATTAACTAATATTCTTTTATTTGTAATAAATTTGTTTAATTCGAAATAAAAAAAATCATGATATTTTTTGAAGTGACGAGAAATAATGTTAAATTTAATTTATAACTGTGTGAAAATCATTGTTATGCATTTTTATGCACTTAATTTAGAAAAGCTGATTACAGACTCAACAAACCAGATACAGATTATTAAAGTACGGAGCAAATATAAATTCTTAAATAATGATATTTAAGATTGGTCAACTATTCACAATATGCATAGACTACATACCATTCTATCATTTAAATTAGTTTTGCTAATAAAACACTCGTCTGAATCCTTTAAAAATTCTAAGCTTTTGAAGTACATCCACGGCACTATATAACCCTCACAGCCACTACCACTCTTCAATTTGTCCAATTTTTGTCGATTTGCATTGTAAATTATTCGTTAACGTTTCTAAAATTACACAAAAAGGGTACAGTTAAAAACGAAAAATAATGAATCAAATAATTGTATTGAAACTATTAATAATCAAACCATATACTCAGAAAAATTATCAAACTATTAACATTACATGTCTATGAATATAAGCAATTGTTTTTACTAAACACATTTCTTAAAAAAGAGATAAAAAACATTTTCTTTATTTGCTTATATTTTTTTTTTAATTATCAAACATGTTTGCATAATTAACAAATTTTTTTTATCCAATCTGCAGCACCACCTTTATAAATCAAAATGCGATCAAGTAGAGTCGCTAATATTATAAAAATTATGCTTATATAAATTTATAGCAAAATTTGAATACACAACAAATGTATATTTAAATTAGATTTGTTATTTATATAATAGTGTTTAAATGAAAAATTAAGTACAACTTTAATTAAATCATATAAGCAACCAAATAGATAAAAAAAAATCTGATATTATATTCTTAATTTATGCAACAAATGTTTGTAAAAATATATTCCTCCAGATAAAACCACATTCATATTTCTATGTAGCATTAGACGTGTGTTGCACCTGCCTTATTTGTTTTGGGTGTTAGATTTCAAAAGAGGGAGAAATCATTTCTTTTAACACCATCGATGAGAATAGAAAAGAAAGAAAAAAAGTTTACTCTTTTACTTGATCCGTATTTTATTTTATAATTTTCTTTAAAAATGGGAAAAAAATGAATAATGTCGCGCTGGTAGTTTATTATATTTATTAAAATCTGAAATAATAAAAAAAGGCCTGCATATGGTGTGATATCTATAGCGCCCGATGCTGCATTAATGTTTCTGTTACCGGAATCAATAGAAATAAAAAAGTTTCTTATCCATTTTTTTTTCTTTTGACGGAGCAAATAAATTCAGCTATTTTTATTTCAAGTTCATTTTATTATTTATTTATTTATTCAAGTAAAATAAAACAGCTGAGTTTACTGTTTTATTTATTGGCGACATAATCGTTTGCGCTGGCAAAATTGAGAAGTGCGTAAAAATTATCTAAAAGAAGAAAAAGAAAGGTTTAAATTTTACATGTAGCTTACATTACCTTGCAAGAAAATTTGGCAAGTTTCCTGGTAATTATTTTGTAAGAAAGCTTCTGGTTAGAAGAAAGTATTAGCTATATCAAACTGGCTTCTATCAAAAGCAATCAGAAATTTGTTGCGAACAAATAACAATAAGCTGGAAATTTGTTAGTTCGTAAATATATCTAATAATATAATCCACAATATAAAAAAACTTAAACTCAAAACAATGCCTTAATTTTTTTTAACTACACATACAAACTTGATAAAAAGAATAATCTTGATTATAAAGCGAACAAATAGCTGCAATATTTAAAGAATAAACTAACTTTATGGTTTTAAAAAATCATAAATTTGGCGATAGCTTTGATGCTCTTGCTAATGCAGTGGTGCGAACTTGCTCCGGACAGCAAATATATATTTTAAAGTGGTAGTTTATCAATTGTGATTCTTGGTTTAATAAATTCAATTTAGTAGATTTTTATCCACCACTATTTCTAAATAATTCGTAGGCTCATATAATTCACCACTTTTTATAAATATTTCATGCTATACCTTTTAAAAAGCAACCAAAAATAGTCAAATATTTGCAAAATTTACTTTGTAGTTATCTACCGTTTTATTAGTTATTTTGGCTTGTCCGGAGCAGTTGGCATCTCTGCTAATGATTAAAAATAATGAACATTTCTCAATTTTTGCAGTTTTTTGTGAGTAACGTTTAGAGTATGAAAATAAGATATAAAAATATTATTTTGAGTTTTTTTCAAGCATTGAAATTAAATCCCTAACGCTATTCTTTTTCTCAAAACCTATTAATTCTTATTAACATTTTGGATCATTTTTATAATTAGTGCTGAGAGCTCTGGTAAAAAATGGAAAACTGTAACCTAACAGTTTTCAATAACTGTTATAGTCTGACAATAGTTACAAAAATAGCATATTATTCTTTAAAAATCATTATTCTAAGCAATGACTAAATCTTCGTAGAACAAACTTTGGAACAGAAAATTTTGCGTTAGTATAAATCTTAATTACAGTATTAAATTATATTTCTTTAAAAAATATAAGTTCCAGTAAATTATAAATACATTAAAAATCTAAGATGAAATGTTAACTGAACAGTCAAAATCATTAGATGCAGTCAAAATCATTAACTTTATTAAAAGTCGAGCACTTAATAGTCGATTGTTTAAAAATTTGTGCATTGATATGGATTCGGATTATACAAGTTTATTGCTACATGCTGAAGTTAGGTGGCTATCAAGAGGTCGAAGTTTGAAACGATTATTAACTTTAAAAGATAAAGTTCTTATATTTCTAACAGAGCAAAATTCTAATTTGGCCGATTATTTTCAAGATAATTTATGGCTTCTCAAGCTATGCTATTTGGCAGATATTTTTGATAAAATCAATGATATGAATTTATCAATGCAGGGAGTCTGCGTTAATATGTTTATGTTAAAAAATAAACTTGAGGCCTTTGTTAAAAAAATTCTTATATGGAAGAACAGAGTGGAAAGTGGATCGCTCGAAATGTTTCCATTTACTGACGAGTATATAATTAGTAACAATATTTCAAAAAAAGATACTCCTATAACAAAAATTATAGTTAATCATTTGAAGGATACGGAAGTTTACATGCATAGGTATTTTCCCAATGATATCGATACACAACAATGGATTTGCAATCCATTTTCAATTGAAATGGAAGAAATTAATTTTTTAAACTTAAAAGCACAAGAAGAATTTGCCGAATTAACAAGTGATACTACCTTGCGACTTAGATTTTCTCAAGTGCCTGTGCATGAATTTTGGATAGAAATCAAATCAGAATATCCCCTACTATCGGAAATGGCAATGAACAAATTACTGCCATTTTGTACAACATATTTATGTGAATCAGCCTTTTCCACATTAACTTACATAAAATCAAAATACCGTTCAACTTTAATAAACGTTGAAAATTTATTACGATCTGCACTAACTCAAATTGAGCCTAGATTTAATTATTTGTGTAAAAATAAACAATCACATCCGTCACATTAATATTGTTTGATGTTAATNCAAGTAAAATAAAACAGCTGAGTTTACTGTTTTATTTATTGGCGACATTATCGTTTGCGCTGGTGAAATTGAGAAGTGCGTAAAAATTATCTAAAAGAAGTAAAATAAAAAGAAAGGTTTAAATTTTACATGTAGCTTACATTACCTTGCAAGAAAATTTGGCAAGTTTCTTGGTAATTATTTTGTAAGAAAGCTTCTGGTTAGAAGAAAGTATTAGCTATATCAAACTGGCTTCTATCAAAAGCAATCAGGAATTTGTTGCGAACAAATAACAATAAGCTGGAAATTTGTTAGTTCGTAAATATATCTAATAATATAATACAAAATATAAAAAAACTTAAACTCAAAACAATGCCTTAATTTTTTTAACTATACTTGCAAACTTGATAAAAAAGAATAATCTTGATTATAAAGCGAACAAATAGCTGCAATATTTAAAGAATAAACTAACTTTATGGTTTTAAAAAATCATAAATTTGGCGATAGCTTTGATGCTCTTGCTAATGATTAAAAATAATGAACATTTCTCAATTTTTGCAGTTTTTTGTGAGTAACGTTTAGAGTATGAAAATAAGATATAAAAATATTGTTTTGAGTTTTTTTCAAGCATTGAAATTAAATCCCAAACGCTATTCTTTTTCTCAAAACCTATTAATTCTTATTAACATTTTGCATCATTTTTCTAATTAGTGCTGAGAGCTCTGGTAAAAAATGGAAAACTGTTACAGTCTGACAATAGTTACAAAAATAGCATATTATTCTTTACAAATCATTATTCTAAGTAATGACTAAATCTTCGTAGAACAAACTTTAGAACAGAAAATTTTGCGTTAATATAAATCTTAATTACAGTATTAAATTATATTTCTTTAAAAAATAAAAGTTCCAGTAAATTATAAATACATTAAAAATCTAAAATAAAATGTTAACTGCACTTACCTCCATTAAAATAGCATGCATGTTGAGGGAACATCAATTGCATTTTATTTGAAATTTCATCATATGATACCCTCTTTAAAGTTCGTATCTTGTATAAGGGCGATTTAAAGTTCCATAAATGATCTTTTAATTTGATTTCATTAATAAAAAATTCCGTCATGTCATTATTCCATTCAAATTCTTTATTTGTCGCCATATTTTGTTTACAAATGTAAATGAAATGAAACGTCATAAAAAGCAAACGATCTGATTGGTTCATGATAGAAATTGCCTGAACGGTTGCAGATATTTCGTGCAACCGTGATTTCTATATCACACGAGCAATTTTTGGAGAAATTTCACTTACAGTTGCACTTACACTTACAGTTACACTTATTTTCTCTCGTGTGATATAGCCATAAGTCTAAATGCAAAATTTATTTTTTTATTGCTATTTTATCATTTCAGTACAAATTGTCTATTATTATTGAAAACTTGTACAAGCTTTAGGACTTAAGGTTCAGTAATTTCTAAACCAGGGGTTTGAAATAGTGTAATTTTTCCGCATACCACAATTTTTGGTTCCGATAACTTTTTAAAAGTAATTATTGAAATTGTTAATTGCAAATAAAGTGTTCTTTAACAGGGAAAAAAACGTGATGCTTCTAAAGTATTCTTAACACGTTCGTCTCACAGCTTTGCATTTGGTTGAGTTTTCTGTTATATTCTGTATCCTATACTTAAATTTCAGAACTTATTCCTTATATCATTTTCGAAAATCCAAGTGAAAACCCTATTATTTTTAAAATAAGAGCAACAGCCATACATGGCGACCAACGTGTTACATAAAAAAGCGTATGGGCCACTTCAGGGTTAAGTTTGAAAATTTTTATTCACTAAAAAATAAATAGTAGCTTTGAATCAACTGCTGACTCACTCTGGATCCTGTAGCATGGACATCAGTAAATGGAGGCGGAAGTGGTGGGAGATGGCTTATGAGGATCGGCCTCTCAGGAATTGAGGGGTCTGGCAGTTTGTGATACCTACATATGTGTTGTAGCGTTATACAGGCATAAATGATATCTGCCGCTACCGGTCGTCTATATCGCAGCAACCTCTCCTCATGGATGCATCTTGCCTTGAGCACTCCTAGACATCGCTCGACAGGATTCCTTGTCTTTTTATGGCTTTTATTATAATTAGCTTCTAGTGGGTCCAGAATCGGCACCATTAGCCAGGACTCTAGTGGATATCCGCTGCCACCTGGAAATTTTTTTTTTAATTGCAACACATAAGACATGTATAAGAGGCTGTCAGCATTTAACATTAGCTCCCTTTTATGCAAAAGATTTTTATACCAAATCTGAATCATAGTTCTTAAAAATAGTTAATATTAACTTTAAGTTATATGCTGATAAAAATCAGTTAAAAATATTACATTAAAGTGCTACTTTGAAATGAATTTCTTTTTACATTCTAAGCATTTAACTACTGTAAACCATTTCTTGTATTCAGCTGTACGTGACTTACCTATCAACCAAGAATTTGGTTCCTGTTGAGCTATATTCATGACTTTAGAGCGCAAAGCTGTATTTCTCCATACATAGGAATCGTGTGAGGATCCAGGAAACTGAGCATTACTACTGAAAATCAGAAGGTCTGCACTGCATACCTATGATTAAAAAAAAATTATTTTCATTCAAATCAAAATTTAAAAAGTAACGTGCCCTTCTACTCCCTAAACTCTTTAAACTAAAAATTTCACTTAGCCTTTAATTATTACACGTGACATGAGAAACACTTATTTTACATCATATGGAATCTACACTTAAACTAAGCTAAATTGCCTTTTCAAGCTTAATTCTAAAATTTTAAAAACTATATATTCTTTTAATTTTGCAAATACAAATACAAATTTCACTATTTGAATAAAAAATTTTTTAAATTCTTGGAAAGAATTAAGAAAAACGTTTCGCATAAGCATGCGAGGTTGTGAAAACGTATCATTATTATATTTTTTTCTTGCATTTAAGTTCAAAAACACTTTGTAATCATACCTTTTCCATATTGATTAAAAAAAGGAAATGCTTCTAAGTTAAATTTCTCTACCTTGTTTGAAAGAAACTACAGGAAACTTTTTATTTACTACTTTTAAAATTACATGGTCTTAATTTTTCTTTAAAAAATATGAAATAAAAAGCATAATTGAACACATTAAATTCCTATGTGCAGTATCTTTTTAAGATTATAAAAAGTAATTAAAAATGACACACTTGTTTTTTAGTTATTCTCAGGCTTTTATTTATTAAGTTTTCATTTAGTTCTATCTGAATCATTAGCAGAGTAGGACGCCATTTTTTAGCAGCAAATTAAAAGCAAAATTTCATTAAGGAAAAGGCGGAAAAACGACCCAGAACATTGGTAAATCTTTCTGATGTAAAACGCGCCCAACATTTGAAGAACAATTTCTCAATAGTTTTTACTTTTCTATTAACTTTGGCCCGCCATTGGGACATTGTGAATGAATTTTTTTTTCATTGTTGCTTTTTTTGGCAACCCGTTAATAAATTTGAAAAATTATTTAAAAAAATTAAATTTTATTGTATATATTTTGTTGTATTATTCATTTATTATATTTTATCTGTATATATTTTTTGCTGTATTATCCTTTATTAATTTTATCTGTAGATATTGTATTTCTTTGTATTGTATGTATTAAAGTTATATTTGCATATGAGATTTTTGAAATATTCCTTCATTAGTGTGTATGGTTTAATTAAAAGAAAATTATTAATAATTGACTGAATGTTTATTAAAATTGGGGAAGAATAACTCTTGTGATAAAGGGGTTTAAATCAGCGAAGGACAATGCTAAAATTACAACAATTCTTAAATTTTTTAATTCCTCACATTGCACTTAAACAAAAATATACTTTTATAGCATTTAAAGTTCATACACTAATAAAAATTATCCCGAATAAATAATAAAAATTACCTTAATGCTAAGAAAAGGTTTTATTTATCTCATTGCCGTTGTATGAGAAAGCTTTTCTCTAAAGGCTAATATGTATTTGCTAATAAATTACTAATGATCATTTAAAATAAGTGCAAGTTATTAATAATTTATTTACATTATAACAAGTTTATAGAACAGAAACTAAAAATATATACAAGTATAATACAATTTAAAACAATATTATAAAATATAAAGTTTCAATTCAGTTGCTAAGGGCTTTGTTTTTAAAAATAAAATACTCACAAAAAGAGAATGAATAAATTAAACAATTTTTGAAACAATTCCAAAACATAGTGATATTTGAAGCACAAGGAACAGGTACATTTGATCTTCCAGGACTATTAATTCGTATATAAGCAATACAATATAAATATAATACAAATTGCTTACAACTAAAATAATTATAAAGTCGTATACAAGCTCACGTTTGATTTCAGTTGCCAATGGTTTTGCTTTTAAATGTACAATTCAACTTTCAAAATAAATTTTTAAAAAAAGGAAAAAGTGTGAAAATTTTAAATTATACCTACTAAATCAATGCGATGAAATTTGAAATAGTTGGAAGTGCCAGGTAAATAAAATCACATATGTACAAAACAGGAACTAAAAATATACTATGCAAGTATAATACAATTTAAAACAACATTATAAAATATTTAAAAGGACAAGTTTCAGTTCAGTTGCAAATGCTTTTAAAAATAAAATGCTCATAAAAAGACAACGAATAAATTAAACAGTTTTTGAAACTATTTTAAAACATAATGATATTTGAAGCACAAGGTAACAAGAAACAGGTGAAAACGATTTTCCAGAATCATTAATTCGCATATAAGCAATACAATATAAATATAATACAAATTGCTTACAATTAAAATAATTATAAAGTCGTATACAAGCTCACGTTTGATTTCAGTTGCCAATGGTTTTGTTTTTAAATGTACAATTCAACTTTCAAAATAAATTTTAAAAAACAGAAAAAAGTGTGAAAATTTAAAAATTATACCTAATAAATCAATGCGATGAAATTTGAAATAGTTGGAAGTGCCAGGTAAAAAAAATCACATATGTACAAAACAGGAACTAAAAATTTATATGCAAGTATAATACAATTTAAAACAACATTATAAAATATTTAAAAGGCCAAGTTTCAGTTCAGTTGCTAATGTTTTTAAAAATAAAATGCTCATAAAAAGACAACGAATAAATTAAACAGTTTTTCAAACTATTTTAAAACATAGTGATATTTGAAGCACAAGGTAACAAGAAACAAGTGAATACGATTTTCCAGAATCATTAATTCGCATATAAGCAATACAATATAAATATTTAAATATAATACAAATTGCTTACAATTAAAATAATTATAAAGTATATACTAGCTCATGTTTGATTTCAGTTGCCTATGGTTTTGCTTTTAAATGTAAAATTCCATTTTCAAAATAATTTTTTTAAAAAAAAGGAAAAATTGTGAAAATTTTCAATTATACCATAATAAATCTTTGCGATGAAACCTGAAATAGTTGGAAGTGCCTAGTAATATAAATTACATATGTACAGAACAGAAACTCATAATATATACAGGTATAATACAATTTTAAACAATATGAAATATATAAAAGACTACGTTCAGTTAAATCTTAAATTAAGTTAAATCATCATGAAAAATTTATTATTTAAAATATTCAACATAAAAAGATTTTTAGAATGAAGAAGGAATATTATTATTTTTTGGCATAAGGTTTTTGAGTAAAAGAAATGAGAATGAATAATATTTAATGATATGCTTGATATATAATTATGTTAATTTTGAAAAATTAAGAACTTATATTCCAGCTTGAAAAAAAATTATACAAAGATTTTTCCAAGCTAAAATATAGACTCTTTTATAGTTAATAAAGGCAAATAAAACTTAAAATAAAAATCTTTTAACTTTAAAAACATTCCTTCCCACATGGATTTGTTGAAAATTATTCTTTCAAGAAACACAGGCTCATTCTCTTTAAAATATAAAACAAAATAACATTCACTGATATTTTCCAATGCCATTTGTCCTTGAATCTGATACATGTTGGCATGATTATCACGGAGTTTAAAGCCTTTATTTTCATCAACTTCAAGACAAAAATTCTTCCTTAACATCACTAACGAATTCAAACTCAGTTTAGTGGGATTATAAATACATTTAATTTCCACTAGAATGGGGTCTCCAGGAGCATACAAAAGGCCATCCGAAAAGCACCCAATAAGGGAAAAAATGGATTCACAATAAGTCCCGTGTTTCTGAAAGTATATTCAGAAAACTTGTGAGCAATAATGGTTTTCACACCATTTTCACAGTCACGTCCATGAGCCACAGCAGGTATATGGGATAAATCCTTCGAACTACCTTCATATAACTACAGAGCCAAAACATCATGAGCTGAAACACGGGTGCAAATCCTGTGGAAGTTCGAGGCAGTTAAACGAATTAAACGCTCCATGTATCACTCTGACTTTGTTTTACTGTTGACTTTTCAACAGCAATTGCTTCATCCAATGTGACTATTACCTTACTGTGCATGAACAAGTTCTGTACAGGTTCAGCACAATCAGGTATAATAGTGTGCATACCCCCAATGACCAATGCAGGAAGAGGTAATCTTTTACTGTATGCTAAATCATCTTTGTCACATTGTGAAGGATTCACAACGTCAAAGATGGGAGCATTTAAACACATAGCATTTAGAGCACTAAAATTTATATCGGTAGACACATTTGAAATGAGTAACTCATTGGCAACGAAAAAAGTTTTAGGTTCTCGCTTCACTGGCTTCTTCTGGTGCCATCTCTGTAAAACTTCAGTAGGGGCAACATATAACTTTTCAGCACTGTAGCTTTGAATTGCATAGAGCAATGCAAGAGAGTGTTTGCAGACAGCTAGCTCTACTCCTCCAGCACAATCACACTTGGCGTTTATAACCTGAAAAAAAATTAAAGAGTAATAAATTTCAATAAGTAAATACATTATCAAATATTCGCAAAGTTTTTTTAATTACAGTACTTTGATACATTCTTTACTGTTTAAGACAAAAGGTTTCACAATTTTTAACCCTAAGGCTTTATAAAATATAAATGCAACAGTAATATAAAAGAAACAAGTTTATTAATCATTCTGTTTTTACACACATTTATTTACTATCTTTATTAAGCATATATAAATTACCTATTATAAATTTATAATCAGTAAAAACTAAAATTTCATCTGACTTTAATCTTTAAGAAAATAAAACTGAAATATTTAAAGGTCTTCCATGTTTTAATAATAAGATTAATAGAAAATGAAATTAAAATGACGTATAATTATAATGAGTACCTGTTATTTCTCCCATTTTTTTCAAATATTTTACCTACGGAAAAAGGCTATATTTTTAGATTAATAATTTTAACTTCTTATTTTTTTAAAACAAGAAAATAAAACTGTTTAAATTTGTTAAACTTAGCAAAATAAAAGTCTAAATTAAATTAAAAACTTATCATATAAAGCTCACAACTCTGACAAATTTATGCTGCACAATAAATTATATAAAATTAAATGTGCATCAATAAGTTTTAACGAAAATGGTTTCGTTTTAGAAAAACTCACTAAGTTTTCCAAATGGATTTTTTAAATGTGGCCCACCCAATAAAAGTGGGCCCACTTGGCGAACACTGGAAATAGCACATGTGAAATGCAAAACGGAATTTTAAATAATACATCACAACAAAATAATGAACCAAAGAAAATTCAAAATTAGGTTTTATAATAAATACTAAGTTAAAGTTTGACATACACATACATATATCATAATTAAGGGGTGCCCAACCTTTGTCATGTGGCCCGTCGACTGTTGATGTGCAGCCAGCAGAAATTTCTGAACGCAGTAAAAATTTATTTTAATTTAGTTGTTGTTTAAACATTATAAATGTTCTGTTATTAACTTATTTCATTCAAATTTATATTACTCTATAAAATACATATTTTTTCCTTTGCACTTTCATACTGGTAGCTTCTTTTTGGTTAAAATTTATATCACACCCCCCAATATTTAGGTACATATGTATATATATTGATAAATGAATTATTGTGGAAAATGGAAAAAGTGTTTTTAGTTTTAAATAAATTCAAATAATTAAAAGCATTTAATTTTCTGCAAATATGTTAATAAGTTTACTGATATCTGGTGCTTAGAACACAAATATTTAGATAAAAAATCATCATATTTGTTGTTAACATGACTAAATATGCATGCGGCACTTCGCGACTCCACTTGCTGTGCAAGTGGCCCTTCACTCAAAAACATTTTACACCCAATCATAAATGATTAAGTATTTATGTATTAGAACAAAATCACAACAAAGATATGGGGAGTGGAAAATCCTAAAAAATATAGTTAAGATTAACATCAATGAATATGAAGTACTCACCTTATTCGAATCTCTCAAAATTTGGCATTCCACTCTATAAATTTTGCTCACTTTCATCTTCGCTTTACATTTAGCTTGAATAACGTAAAACGCCTCCTCTTCACAAACTTCTATTTTAAAAATAAAATTCTCACGAAACATTTTTGCAGCTTTACTGTGAAGGCTTAAAAAGTTTAAAGAAACATCAGGCGCAATTTTGCTGTTCACTAACTCGCAGTATTCCATGATGTTACTCACATCGAATCCTATCAACCTTAGTGGACATCTCTCAATAGAATCCATTCTTTAAAAAAAATCTGTTTTTCTACAAAAAATAACGTAAAATAATTTGTGCATGTAAAATATCGAACAACTACTAACTTCCATTCGTTTAGCATTGCGCGATGGTAATTGTTATTCCTACTAAAATTTTCGAAGTGGAAGTAGTTGTGTTTTTTTAATATTATACCCAATTACGTTAAAATATATATTTTTTGTCTTCAAATCATTACAAATTGAAGTGAAGTCAGCATTGCTTACTTCATAACGTACAGAACTGGTATAGTTTTAGAATATTCTTCTTTTTCATAGAATAGTATATATTTCTGTATCTATATAATTCGAGAAACAACAGTAAAGAATCATCCGAATTACTTGAAATTGTATAATTTGTGTTGATTATTAATAAATTTTTATCGTTTCTTTGGTAAGTATTTTTTAGTTACGAATGATAAATTTCAACTGGAATTCAGCTATTTTGTTTTTAAGTTACATATTGAAATTTATATCGAGATCTTGAAATTATAAAATTTTATTGTGTGGTACGTTATCTTAAAGTAATGAAGGGATAATCTATGTATAGTCAACCCTCCTATAACGCGGTACTCTCAGAACGCGGTTTCCGTCAACAGCATCCCATAAGTTCCTTCCGCGTAGCCTAAGAATGTTTAGCCTAAGCTGTTTAGTTCGTTAGGGCCTATTTGAATTATAAGGGAACAGATGGCGCCAGTTTCATGTAGGTCCACACAGTGGCATCGCGACATAGTAACTAGATATGTTTACATAAAGATTATCTCCGACTTATTAAACTAGTAATAATATAAATTCACTCAAAAATAATTTAAATAAAGTTGTGTGTTTACAGAGCAGCACTTCATCAGGGGACACACTGTCTGTAAACACACAGGAGCCTTTCTGTTGTTAATAGCAAAGCCAAAACTAACAGTGCCCCGTGGCACCTAATGATAATACAAGCATAAAGAATAATAATAATTACCGCATTAAATAAATTTTTACCATTATAACATTCATATAAATTTGCAATATAATCACCTTTACTGAAACAAATGTACAAAACACCTAGAAGACATAAAAAAAAACAGCCCCCAATGCACTTATAAATATTCAAAACAGTTACAGTTAGTAAAAGTGAAAAACAAATTCCTTATATTCCAAATCAGCACAAAAAATAATATGCTGACACCTAGATAAAAATAAACAAAT